CACCGCCCGTGCGGGGCTAGCCTGTTCGGCAGCTCGAAGCTCCGGCAGTCTGTGGGTTCTCTCGGCTTGAGGGGGTCGGGCCCTGCCTCTCCTCTTGCCCCTTGGCTGCCGGCCTGACTGGTCCTTCGTGCCCCGTGCTGATAGGGACGGCCAGCCTGAGCCCAGCCCCCCTGCCCGATGGGGACCCTTTGTGGCGGAGGAGCGGCCTCTCCAAGGACTGCTGTGGCGCCTCCATCCACTAGGGTCCCCGTGGGTCGGCCGGGGGGTGCCCCTGGTGGGGGCAGGGAGAGCCGGGCCAGCAGCACGCTGGGGGGGGGCATTGGGGAGCGGGTGCTGGAGCCGTGTCTCTGTGAGGGACTGTCTCCATCTTCCGGGCTTTCTGCTGGCAGGGATGTAGCAGACGGACTGGGTGTGCCTGGGATGCCCTAGGCTCCCACTTACAGGTGGAGGTTCGGATAGGGGTTTGGGATGCAAATCCTGCCTCTCTGGGTCTGCCGGTGACCCCTCCAGTCCCCATTCTTGGGCTTGTGTTCCCGCAGGGTGTGGAGGAGGTGAGGGTGGGATGCGACCTCTCCTCTCTTTCGCCTTCCTTTTTTCTCTGGCTGTGGCATTAGGGGCCCAGGATTCCGACCTGACAAAAGAGCCCTGGAGAGGTGATCAGTCTAAGCCGAAACTTTGCAGTTTCAAGCTGGGCCTGTTCCTTGTTCTAGCAAATGCATTTTTTTTCCTTTCCTTCTTCTGCACCTCCTTGGTTTGCTTCCCTGCACCCCCCCGCCCAAGCTGGGTACTTCGTGTCTCCCTTGGGGCTTGGGCACTGAGAGGGTAGCACTAAGCCCTATCCTGTTGGCTGCTACGACACTGCTCTGCTATCTTTGCCACCTGGAGCTGGCAGGAGAGCTGGGTGTGGCCTGGGGGCGAAGACCCGGCCAAGCTGGGCACTGTCCCTACAGCCTCTGCCCCATCTCTGCAAGGTCTCTCTGTATTGGGGGACGATGCTTCCCTTCCATAGGACTCTTTGGACCCCCTGACACCTCCCCTTCTCCAGCTAACCTCTGGGTCTGGAGGGAGAACCGTACAGGATTGCCTGGGCCATCTGTCTGGCTGTGCCTGAGCAGAGCCTGACTTATGTCTGTCTCCGTGGTGCTTGGCTGTGGGGGCAGGCGCGACTCGGCTTTGTGTTGCAGCCCAGCCGGTAGGCCAGACAGCAGGCTCCTGGACAGCCAGCCGAGGGAGGCCCTCGGGGTGAGGAGGCAGCTGGGGCCAGGAGTGGGAATGTGGCGGTGCCGAGTCCACTCTCAGGCCTTGATGCCTCAGACCTCTGTCCTGGGGCTCCTGGTGGCAGTGCCACTCTGGGGTGCTGTTCTCCCCATCCCTCGGCTTGTGATTGTTCTCTCCCTGCCTTTCCCCTTCCCCCAGCTTGGGCGTGGGGTGTCTGTGGCCTGAGGTTTGCCTGTGGTGGCTCTTGTATGCGGCTAGCCGTCCTCAGCTCTGGGATCTGGCATTCGGGGTCTCATTCCAGGACGGCCTCCCGCCCTGCCTTTCCCAGCATCTGGCTCTGCTGCCCCCTTGGGTGTGGCCCAGCTGAGGCGAGGCCTCCTGGCTCCTTTCCAGGGGGGTGGGGGGCTGGGGGATGATTGATGGCCCCCAAGTCTGCCTGCGCTTACTGCTCACTCATGCGCCCTGGAGGCCCCTCCTCTCCCGGCCGTGGTCACCATCTGGGGCTCCGGCTCTGGTGTGGTGGTGGGCGAGTGAGTGGCTTCCACCCACTGTGGCACGGAGCTTGGCCTGCTGGGGGTCCTAGGCCAGGCTGCGCGGTAGGACTGGCGGCCTGGGCCGGGGAGCTCTGACCTGCACTTGCCATCTCTCCTCAGGCCCGTCCCAGGTGCAGCCGCCGACCATGCCCACTGTCTGCCTCCTCCTGCTGCTACCCCTCACCATGGAGGGGGTCCTGGGCCGCAACAGACCCTTCCCCGCCTTCTTAGTGACAGACACCACACTCACCCACCTGGCTGTGCACCGGGTGACCGGGGAGGTATTTGTGGGCGCAGTGAACCGTGTCTTCAAGCTGGCCCCCAACCTGACTGAGCTACGGGCCCATGTCACGGGGCCCGTTGAGGACAATGCTCGCTGCTATCCGCCCCCCAGTATGCGTGTGTGCACCCACCGCCTGGCGCCCGTGGACAACGTGAACAAGCTGCTGCTCATAGACTATGCTGCCCGTCGCTTGGTGGCCTGCGGCAGCATCTGGCAAGGCATCTGCCAGTTTCTTCGCCTGGATGACCTCTTCAAGCTGGGCGAGCCCCACCACCGCAAGGAGCACTACCTGTCAGGGGCCCAGGAGCCTGACTCCATGGCCGGTGTCATCGTGGAGCAGGGTCAGGGGCCCAGTAAGCTGTTCGTGGGCACCGCCGTGGACGGCAAGTCCGAGTACTTCCCCACTCTGAGCTCCCGCAAGCTCATCCGCGACGAGGACAGTGCCGACATGTTTAGTCTGGTGGGTGAGCTGGCCAGTCCGTTCCCCCTCCTCCCTTTGCCTGTCCCCGACACCCCGCCTCAATAGCCGGCACCTGTTTCCCTCCTGTCTTCTCTCTGTCCTGGCTCCACCTCTGGAAGAGCCCTGGTCCAAGGAGGGACGAGCTGCCGAAGACAGGAGGGTGGGCTGAAGCGCGGGACGGGGCTGCTCGCCCTGCCCTCTGCTACCCTTGTGGCCTGGGCTCCTGTGACCATGTTGGTGGGGCAGGGGGGGCGGTGCTGTGAGAGGAAGCCCTGGGGAGACTGTGTTGTGGGGGTCGAAGGGCCAGGGATTAAGAGACTGACGATGGACCCAGACCTTGTCCCACGCTGTCTCCTCATCCTGCTCCCCAGGTGTACCAGGATGAGTTTGTCTCCTCGCAGATCAAGATTCCCTCAGACACCTTGTCCTTGTACCCCGCCTTTGACATCTACTACATCTACGGCTTTGTGAGCGCCTCCTTCGTGTACTTCCTGACGCTGCAGCTGGACACCCAGCAGACGCTGCTGGACACGGCGGGCGAGAAATTCTTCACGTCCAAGATCGTGCGCATGTGCGCGGGGGACTCCGAGTTCTACTCGTACGTGGAGTTTCCCATCGGCTGCTCCTGGCGCGGCGTGGAGTACCGCTTGGTGCAGAGCGCCCACCTGGCCAAGCCCGGCCTGCTGCTGGCCCAGGCCCTGGGCGTGCCGGCCGACGAGGACGTCCTCTTCACCATCTTCTCTCAGGGCCAGAAGAACCGGGCCAGCCCGCCCCGGCAGACTGTTCTCTGCCTCTTTACCCTCAGCACCATCAACGCGCACATCCGGCGCCGCATCCAGTCATGCTATCGCGGGGAGGGGACACTGGCCCTGCCGTGGCTGCTCAACAAGGAGCTGCCCTGCATCAACACGGTGAGCTCAGCGGCCTCAGCCGGAATAGCCGCGCCTCCCTCTTGGGGACCCCCGCCCTCTCATCCTCTCCCTGCATTTGCCCCCCCGCAGCCTGCCTCCTCACCGTCGCTCTGGGCGGGCGCTCTCTGCTCGTGGGCCGCCTCTCGCCCTGCCTGCTCCTCCACCCATTCCCAGCCGGCTGCTCCTTGCTCCAACTCACGAGTGTCCCTCACTGTCCTGAGTCAGCAGTAGTCTCCCGGCCCGTCCCCATCTCGTAGGCCCAGGCCTCGCTCTCCGCCCCTACTCCCGCCTCCTTTCCCTCCTCTGTCTCCCTCCTCAGCCCCCCGATTTCCTGTGGGGTCCAGGGCAGCAGTTGGTCTCGGCTGGTGGGAAACAAGTTCCAGATACTGCTCCCTTCTAGAACATGGGGTCTCATGGCCTCTGTCCCCCCAAGCTTTGACTGTCACGTGCATCCCTCCCGTTTCACTAGCCCATGCAGATAAATGGAAACTTCTGCGGGCTGGTGTTGAACCAGCCACTGGGCGGCCTGCACGTGATCGAGGGGCTGCCCCTGCTGGCCGATGGCGCTGACGGCATGGCCAGTGTGGCGGCCTACACCTACCACGAGCACTCTGTGGTCTTCATTGGCACTCGCAGCGGCAGTCTGAAGAAGGTAGGCCCTGGCCCCCTTGCCATGTGAAGATTGGGGCAGACTCTGAGATATGGGATGACAGTCACGGACAAGAATGTACAGACAAGCCCTGTGAGACTCTGGACAGGGCACACTCAGTAGGGCAAAGGGAGCTTCCCAGCCAGGGCCCCAGGAGCCCGGCCATGCTCCCCAAGAGGCTCCCATGGCCATCCACCGGCTCCGGCACCACTGCCTACTATGGCCTGAATTGCCGGCTTCCTGTGGCCCTGGGGACAGAAACCAGACCTCTCTCAGGGTCTCCTTGCCAGGAGAGCAGGTGGCAGCGGCTCAGCCGTCAGTGCTGGATCCTCACTGGAATGGATGCAGACGTAACCCCCTTCGCCCTGTGTCCCCTCACGGGCAGCAGGGCCGCAGCTGCTTCTGTCCTGGCAGTGGAGGGAGCGTGAAAGTGAGAGATGAGCTCCTGGGAGCTCTGATGTGTCCTAAAGGGACAAAAGTCAGGACAGCCATCACGCTGTCGTTCTTCTCACCTGGAGACTGTGGAGTGATCCCTGGGGAGGTCGGGCGCGAGCGTGTAGCCGGGCGAGGGCTCGCGAAGAGGGCTGCTGAGCTCTTGTGCTGGGCCTGCTCCCCTCCTGGGTCCTTTCTGTCATTTGTAACAGCTTTATTGAGGTATAATTCCCATCCCATATACTTCCCCTGCTTAAAAGACACGCCAGTGGTTTGAGCGAGTTTGCAGAGTTTTGCGACTGTCACCACTCTCTCATTCCAGGACACTGTCATCACCCTAAAGACCCCTTCCCCTTTGGATGTCAGCCTTCTCCCCCATCCCCCATCTGTGGCATCGCTAATCTCTCTGTCTCTGTCTCCTGGGAGCCTTTTCTGGCTGGCTGAGTTGCCCCCAAGGGCCTCCGGGGCGGGGGTGCTTTGAGCCCTCCTTCCCCTGCCCATGGGGATCGTGGGGCTGGCAGGTCAAGGGCTGAGCCCTTCCAGGCCCCAGCTTCAGTTCAACCACAACCCGGAAAGTTCCTGGCTCGAGAAGAGGACGCCCTGGGTGCGTGGGGTGTTGCTGTGGCATCACATTGGCTTGTCACCCCTCTTCCCTGGCCTTGCGGCCCAGGTGCGAGTCGATGGCTCCCAGGATGCCCACCTGTACGAGACGGTGCCCGTGGTGGATGGCAGCCGTATTCTGCGAGACCTGCTCTTCAGCCCTGACCACCGGCACATCTACCTCCTGAGTGAGAAGCAGGTGGGCCCGTGGTGGGAGGAGGCGGGTGGCAGTGTGGGGGCGAGGTGGGTGCTGACGAGGCTGTCCCCAGGTGAGCCAGCTCCCAGTGGAGACCTGTGAGCAGTACCTGAGCTGCGCGGCCTGCTTGGGCTCCGGGGACCCACACTGTGGTTGGTGTGTGCTGCAGCACAGGTAAGGGTCCCAGAAAAGGGATGGGTGGTGACGACGGGCTCAGTGACGCCCTGCTCTCTGGAAGATCTGGCCGGGCCTCTTGTTGGTCGGTGGGGGCAGCACCTGTCCTGGCCTATGTGCTCACTTCTCCCAGCTGTGCCCTTATGGCCCTCCCCGCCCTCCCCTTCCACTTTCTCCAGCTAATGAGCGGAACCTCCACTCCAAATGACGTCCCTTAGACCCCAGGGACAAGGCTGAGGCACGCTGTTGCCTGGCACTGTGGGCTGGGCCGGCTGGGCCCTTTCCCCGCTAGGCCCCCATGGAGCCCTGGATAGGGCCCTCCCAGGGCAAATGCGCGATGGGCTCTGGCCTGACCCCACGCAGATGCTGCCGCGAGGGGGCCTGTCCAGGCGCCTCAGCCCCACATGGCTTTGCCGAGGAGCTGAGCAAGTGTGTCCAGGTGCGGGTCCGGCCCAACAACGTGTCAGTAACATCGCCCGGGGTGCAGGTGAGTGGTGTGGCGGGTGTGGGCTGTGCTGCCCAATGTGTGCGCGTGTGCGGGGTGCACCCTGCTGAGTGCTCCGTCTCCCGCAGCTGACCGTGGCCATGCGCAATGTGCCAGACCTCAGCGCAGGTGTGAGCTGTGCCTTCGAGGAGGTGACGGAGAATGAGGCCATCCTGCTGCCCTCCGGGGAGTTGCGCTGCCCCTCGCCCTCCCTCCAGGAGCTCCAGGCTCTCACCAGGGGGCACGGTCAGTGGCTGGGGCTGCTCGGGATGGGGGCACTGTCTGTCCCCGGCTGGCTCACGGCCGCACTTGGGCTTGCTGCAGGGGCCACCCGCACCGTGCGACTGCAACTGCTTTCCAAGGAGACCGGCGTGAGGTTCGCCGGGGCCGACTTTGTCTTCTACAACTGTAGTGTCCTTCAGTCGTGAGTACCGATCTCTGTCCGCACGTCTCGTTGTCCCTTGCTATGTCGTGCAGACCTCGGATGGGTCCTGGAGCCTTCTTCCTTTGGTTCCCCATGTGTCCCATAGGAGGAATGCTGAGGGGGCCAGGCCAGGTCTTCTCTGTTGTTTCTGAAGCTTCTCCCCCCTAGGTGCATGTCCTGCGTCGGCAGCCCTTACCCCTGCCACTGGTGTAAGTACCGCCACGTGTGTACCAGCCACCCCCACGAGTGCTCCTTCCAGGAGGGCAGGGTCCACAGCCCCGAGGTGAGGCGGGAGCCGTGCGCGAGGGGGCTGGGCTCCGCATGCACTCGCCTCTGGCTTTTCTGTCTTTGATCTCATCGGTTTCTTGGAGCCTCCTCGATGCGGGGCTGGCCCAGCTGGGCCTGGACAGCGCGGTCGGCGTGTGGCTGATGGCGTTCTCCCCCGCAGGGCTGCCCCGAGATCCTGCCGAGTGGGGACCTCCTGATCCCAGTCGGCGTCATGCAGCCTCTTACCCTGCGGGCCAAGAACCTGCCGCAGCCCCAGTCGGGCCAGAAGAACTACGAGTGCGTGGTCCGCGTGCAGGGGCGGCAGCAGCGCGTGCCCGCCGTGCGTTTCAACAGCAGCAGTGTGCAGTGCCAGAATGCGTCGGTGAGGCCCCCTCCCTGCCATCCCCGGGCCTGTGCTCCGCTCTCTGGTCTGGAAGCCTCAGGTGGCTGTGGCAGGGGACCTTCTGAGGGCTCACGTGGTCCCTGTCCTTCAGTACTCCTATGAAGGTGACGAGTACGGCGACACCGAGCTGGACTTCTCTGTGGTCTGGGATGGAGACTTCCCCATTGACAAGCCTGCCACCTTCCGAGGTGAGGGGCGAGATGGGGCTGAGGAGCTAGCCTCCTGGGACAGAGTTGGCATGAGCTGGGGCCAGGTCTAACAAGGGGCCCCTCTGTCAGGGCCCGCAGAGGCCCTGGCTCCCCGTGGATGCTCCCCAGCAGTGCCCTCCCTGCCCGCAGCTCTCCTGTATAAGTGCTGGGCACAGCGACCCAACTGTGGCCTCTGCCTCAAGGCTGACCCCCGCTTCAGCTGTGGCTGGTGCATCTCGGAGCACAGGTGCCAGCTGCGGGCCCACTGTCCAGCCCCCAAGACCAACTGGATGCATCCGAGCCAGAAGGGCAGCCGCTGCAGCCACCCCCGCATCGCCCAGGTTAGCTTCTGCCACCCTCTGCCCACTGGGCACCCGGGGCTCTGGGCCCACCCTCTCACCTTCCCGTCCTGCTCTGCAGATCCATCCACTCATGGGGCCCAAGGAGGGAGGCACGCGGGTCACCATCGTGGGTGAGAACCTGGGCCTCACCTACCGAGAGGTGGGCCTGCGGGTGGCCGGCGTGCGTTGCAACTCCATCCCCGCCGAGTACGTCAGTGCCGAGAGGTGAGTGTGGCTGTGCGGGTGCTCAGGCTGGTGCTCCGAGGCTGGCCTTGACCTTCTCTCCCCCGCTAGGATCGTGTGTGAGATGGAGGAGTCACTGGTGCCCAGCCCGCCACCAGGGCCCGTGGAGCTCTGCGTGGGCGACTGTTCCGCTGACTTCCGCACGCAGTCCGAGCAGCTCTACAGCTTTGTGGTGTGTGAGCTGCCTGCCTCTTCCCACGCCCACCCCTTCTGAGGGGGTGTGACCCCACGCTGGGCCGCGTCCTCTCTCGCCTCACAGCTGCTTCTCCCACAGACCCCAACGTTCGACCGCGTAAGTCCCAGTCGGGGCCCAGCTTCCGGGGGTACGCGGCTCACCATCTCCGGAAGCTCCCTGGATGCTGGCAGCAGGGTCACGGTGACTGTGAGAGATGGCGAGTGCCAGTTTGTGAGGTGGGTAGGGCCCTGCCAGTGTTGGGCTGGGCACTGGACCGGGGGCCAGAGGGATGGGGCGGGGCCAGTGAGGGCCTTGGGCCACCCGCTCCAAGCGCCCTGCTTACCGACATAGGAGAGATGCCGAGGCAATTGTGTGTATCTCGCCCGTCTCCACGCTGGGCCCCAGTCAGGCCCCCATCACCCTGGCCATCGACCGCGCCAACATCTCCAGTCCCGGAGTCCTCTACACCTACACCCAGGACCCTACTGTTACTCGCCTTGAGCCCACCTGGAGCATCATCAAGTAAGATTCTAGGGAGACTGGGTCCCTGAGCTTCTGTCCTTGGGCTTTGCCTGGTGACTGGAACCTTGGGCATCAAATTACACTGACTCTGAACCTGAGCCCTTACTGGCAGAGCGGGCAGGGTCCTCCCAACTATGTAGCACCTGGCACCTGCCCAGCAACCCAGGTATGGGAAGCCCCAGGTCCCCATGGCAGCCTTCATAGCTCTCTAGGGCCAGGCTGGGGACAGTGGCGGACAGAGACTGAGGCCCCTCCTCCCGTCCCCAGTGGAAGCACTGCCATCACTGTGAGTGGGACCCACCTGCTGACAGTCCAGGAGCCCCGGGTCCGGGCCAAGTACCGAGGCATCGAAACCACCAACGTGAGTGCCAGCTGCCCTCGCCCCACCCCTGACTCTGCCACCCGTGGCCTCATGTGCTGGGCTACCCGCCCTTGTCCACACAGACGTGCCAGGTGATCAACGACACTGCCATGCTGTGTAAGGCCCCTGGCATCTTCTTGGGGCGGCCGCAGCCACAGGCCCAGGGCGAGCACCCTGACGAGTTTGGCTTCCTGCTGGACCACGTCCAGACAGCCCGCTCCCTCAACCGGTCTGCCTTCACCTACTACCCGGACCCCAGCTTCGAGCCACTGGGGCCCTCTGGTGTCCTGGACGTCAAGCCTGGCTCCCACGTGGTGCTGAAGGTGCCGGAGGAGTGCAGGGGCTGGGAGGGCCAGGGCGCTGGGGAGCCCTGGTGGACCGTGCCTTCCATACGCAGGGCAAGAATCTGATCCCCGCGGCAGCCGGCAGCTCCCGCCTCAACTACACCGTGCTGATCGGGGGCCAGCCGTGTGCACTCACCGTCTCAGACACGCAGCTGCTGTGCGACTCGCCCAGCCAGACGGGCCGGCAGCCTGTCATGGTGTGTGCGCGGGCGTGGGAAAGCCACCCGGGGAGTGCGGGGTGGCTCTGAGGGTCAGCTCACAGGGGCCTGTTCCTGCAGGTGCTGGTGGGCGGCCTGGAGTTCTGGCTGGGCACCCTGCACATCACGGCCGAGCGGGCACTGACTCTGCCGGCCATGGTGGGGCTGGCGGTGGGCGGCGGGCTCTTGCTGTTGGCCATCACTGCTGTGCTGGTTGCCTACAAGCGCAAGACTCAGGATGCGGACCGCACGCTCAAGCGCCTCCAGCTCCAGATGGACAACTTGGAGTCCCGCGTGGCTCTGGAATGCAAGGAAGGTGCCTGGGGTGGGGGTGCAGCGCGGGGTGGGCACGCCGGGAGCCCGCCTCCTCTTGCTCTGCTCACTTCTCCTCCCCGCCCCTCCCAGCCTTTGCCGAGCTGCAGACAGACATCAACGAACTGACAAACCACATGGACGTGGTGCAGATCCCCTTCCTGGACTACCGGACGTACGCCGTGCGCGTGCTCTTCCCGGGCATTGAGGCCCACCCGGTGCTCAAGGAGCTGGATGTGAGTCCCCGTGGCCTGCTCACTCCCCGTCACCCCCGGGGCCACCGTCCCAGCCTCTGAGACTCCCTGTCCCCCACAGACACCCCCCAACGTCGAGAAGGCGCTGCGTCTCTTCGGGCAGCTGCTACACAGCCGCGCCTTTGTGCTCACCTTCATCCACACGCTGGAGGCCCAGAGCAGCTTCTCCATGCGTGACCGTGGCACCGTGGCTTCGCTCACCATGGTGGCCTTGCAGAGCCGCCTTGATTATGCCACAGGGCTGCTCAAGCAACTGCTGGCGGACCTCATAGAGAAAAACCTTGAGAGCAAGAACCACCCAAAGTTGCTACTGCGCAGGTACTGTCCCACCCCGAGCCCCACCCTCCGTGGGCCCAGCCCCTGACCGGCCCCACCCCCTTCTAGGCCTGGGCCCCAGCAGCCTTTCACCCTAGGACAGAGTCAGTGGCC